CTTGACTTCGTAAGAAGCATTTCAAGGTCCTGGAGTGGCCTAGCCAGTCTCCAGATCTCAACCCCATAGAAAATCTTTGGAGGGAGTTGAAAATCTGTGTTGCCCAGCTACAGCCCCAAAACATTACTGCTCTAGAGGAGATCTGCATGGAGGAATGGGCCAAAATACCAGCAACAGTGTGTGAAAACCTTGTGAAGACTTACAGAAAACGTTTGACCTCTGTCATTGCCAACAAAGGGTATATAACAAAGTATTGAGATGAAATTTTGTTATTGATCAAATACTTATTTTCCACCATAATTTGCAAATAAATTCTTTAAAAATCCTACAAATTTTTTCTCATTTTGTCTCTCATAGTTGAGGTATACCTATGATGAAAATTACAGGCCTCTCTCATCTTTTTAAGTGGGAGAACTTGCACAATTGGTGGCTGACTAAATACTTTTTTTCCCCCACTGTATATGGTTAAACTCCAGCAATATTATGTAGTCCTGCCCTGATGAAGGTCTTTCACAGATCTCTGCATATAATTCCACAGACACAGTAATAACTGAACTGACACTGTTGAGAAGTTTCCATCCTCCTTGTTCTTCTGATGCTGTTCATATTCCAGTGCGTGTGTTTTGTGATAGTTGTTCATGAGTCCCTCATTTCTTCTGAGCAGTTTCTGAGTCAGAAAAATCCTGCAGGTCTTGCACATTCTTTTGTTTTCCAGCATCTTCTGCACATTTGAACCCTTAGCAGTATGTTGAGATCCAGCTCTCACACTGAGGGCGATTGAGAAACTCAAACACAAACATTACAAAAGCTGCAAACATTCACTGATGCACAAGAATGAAACACACCTTATGAAGAACAGAAGAAGTGTTTTTTTTGTCTTGTAAATATGTAAATACAGTTGTGGTTATTTTACCAAAATAAGAGGGATCTTTAAAAAAAAGCATGTTATTTTTTATTTAGTACTGACCTAAATAAGATATTTCACATGAAAGACGTTTACATATAGTCCACAAGAGAAAATAATAGTTGATTTTATAAAAAAGACCCCGTTCAAAAGTTTACATGTGCTTGACTCTTAATACTGTGTTGTTACCTGAATGATTTTTATTTTTTCTGTTTAGTGATAGCTGTTCATGAGTCCCTTGTTTGTCCTGAACAGTTAAACTGCTGCTGTTCTTCAGAAAAACCCTTCAGCTCCCACTAATTCTTTGGTTTTTCAGCATCTTTTGTGTATTTGAACCCTTTCCAACAATCACTGTATGATTTTGAGATCCATCTTTTCACACTGAGGACGACTGAGGGACTCAAACACAACTATTACAGAAGATTCAGACGCTCGCTGATGCTCCAGAAGGAGCCGGGGGGAAAACTTTTTGAATTTGAAGATCAGGGTAAATTGAACTTATTTTGTCTTCTGGGAAACATGTAAGTATCTTCTGGAGCTTCTGAAGGGCAGTACTACATAAAAAATATGATATTTAGGCAAAATAAGAAAAATGTACACATCT